TTCTTTTGTTCTATGAAGGTAAACATGGGTAGGAACAATGGAAGCTTATAACAGATTTCCTGCCTATCTAACTGGGCCTTGGGTTCAGCATGGAAAATTGCCTTTTAAGAACCTGTAATGAAAATAAATAACATTTCTTCCATGAAGTAGAGCTTTTTGATGTATGTTTTCTGTGTTCACATTTTTGTAACTAAAAGAAGCGTTTCTTATTAAAAGCATATAATAATCTAGTTGCCCACAGATGTGAACCTTCCTTGCTTATCTAGGGGCCTATATGTGAGGATTTACAGACTGTAGTTAAATGAATCTTCTGGTTTTTATAGCAGAATGCAAGTACATCTTCTAGAAGAAACAGGTAGCTCCATTATCTGGAGAACAATGATAAACAAATAAAGAAGTAAATAAATAAAACATGATGATTTGGGGTAGTGTGACCTTACTAGTGTTTATTATTGCTTTAATATTGGTAAATTATTATTGGCATGGATAACAATGGGAAAATCTTTCTTCCATGTATGGATCTATGGATCTATATTGTTATATTTCAGTCAGAAAATAAGACAAAGCCAACATTTATAGGTGGCAGAAACTGGGAAATACCACTGCTGCATATGTACAATAAAGAACAATAATGAGCAATGTACAGATGTCATAAAATCAATTCCATCTCCATTTTACTGGATGTCCCTTTTTCTAACTGAACTAGATTTGTAGACATTTTGTATACAAATCTGGAGATGCGTATAGCCCTACTCTGAAAAATGTACTAATCTTCCCATATGCAAATCTCTTAAAATTGAGGATGGGAAAACCTACCTTTTAAAAATTGGTTGGCTTTAAAAATTTCATTTATATATGACTTAATTACATAATAAACTATAAATTATGTGATTTATGACTAAAATTACATAAAATAAAATAAGTACTGCCCCCACCCAGCCTGCAAGTCCATGGAGTCCAGGTGATAGCACAGCGGTCCATTCCACGCCTGTTGTAGTAGAACGTAGCACAGGACGATTCCCCTAATTTTTAAGAAGTCAAAAACGCTCTAAAGATGATACACAAATGTCATGAATAAGCATTTGCATAACGTTTTCAGATGCAGATTATTCTTTTCTTATGCAGAGCTCTGCTAAAACCAAAGCTTGTGCAGATATGAGATCTCCAAATCTGAAATGCATGCAACACAATAGCATGAAATTATTTTGGCCCTATGCCAACTGGTGGCAGATAAGGAGAGCCCAATAACCTGAATGCTGAAATACAAGTGCTCTTTACAGTGAGACAAGAATACAGTAATGTGTTATGATATTCCTTTGCCTGCAGCCATTCATAATAACATGATTTCAGAATAAAAGATAGTGACAAATTAAACTCCGTATACTCCAAAGGAAATTTGTACCAAACAGATTACTGGTTTGTGTTGCAGACAATCTCCTGTTAGGTCCAGTTTAAAACTTTACAAAAACTGAGCCAGTCTGTTGAAAAAGACACAAAGGAATGCATGTACTGGAAAATGCATAGGTCTCCAGAGAGAGTGGACTATAAAGGATCGAGCCAGGAAATGTGTTTTCCATTTTGTAAGAGATTTTTGATACTGTAAAAGCAATACTGATATTGCTTTTTTGGTGAAGAGGTTCGTAATTCATGGAAAACACATGTTTGCCTCACATCTACTGGTGTTTCTTGTAGCAAAAACCCACCTCCATGCTCCTCCCAACCCTGCATTGGATGCCCATAAGCCTCCAAGTTCGGAGGATGACAGGCATCCAGACATCACTGTACTCTAAAACATTAAATGGTCACAAGGAGCAGTATCATTAAAGTTACAGTTGTTTCACCTGAAAAGTTTGGGTATCAGAAATGGTCATTCTGGATGTGGCCCTGGTCGTGTGTCATGATGACAGCAGCAAAAGTGCATATAAGTATGTAAGGGAGATGCTGGAAGAAAAGGAATATAAAAAGGGGCGCTGTAAGGCAGAAGATCATGGATGCCACCGAGGGTCTGGATGGTTTAACTGCATTTGTTTGGGCATACGGAGCAAGGTTTGAGTTCTTTGCGTAACATTAGGTCATGGCCTGACCCTACGGACTAGATACATAGGACAGAGATTCAACTGAAGCTTCAGAATAAGATCTGAGAAATCTGTTGATACGCTACCATGACATCATTACTACCTGGTGTTTTTGTTTTTAATAAAGGCTGTGTAATACTCCCAGGGGCTAAATTCCTTGCAATTCCAGACTCCAATTTCACATACAGAACTCTTGCTTTTAATGGTCAATTGTTGGCAGCTACTCAATTATTGTGACTAATATCAGCCTGTACAGATTGGTAGGCAATTCTATTGCATTTCATGGAATTCTAGCAAGAACGATATTCATTTACACAGGGGACTTGTTGACAATATCTGTTAAGTCATTAATTGTGAGTTAGGGCGGCCATAAAAGCCTAGATGATGGACTGGAATTCAGAATGTATTTTATGAAGAGAGCGGCCCAGGTGGTCTGGTTTGATATTTTACTACCTTTTCAGCATTCCAACTAGAGTCAATGAAACAAGTGCCTTTGCAGCCTATTTAAGACAAATTTGTCAATAAGCAAACAATATAGCTAGAAGCTGCCTGGGTGTTTGTTACACTTTGATCCTTTTCATTGATCTTAGTCTTTCAGGTTTGCAAAGAATCTTAAAGGATTTTAGAGAAAGTCTATTAGGCCACAAATGTTTCTTTACTGTTTAGCTGCTCCTGTCAGAGCTTTTCTAATTTAGCAATTTAAGAACTCTCAGGGTCAAAATGATCAAATGCCGTGACATTATTTGAGCCAAATATGCTGTTTAAGGGCTGGCAACTGAAAAGCACCTACTTAAATGGCTGCCTGTTTTAACCTGTACCGCAGCCTTCCCCAACCTTGTGCCTTCCAGACACATTAGGACCGCAATACCCAGAATTCCCAGTCTATGGCCCTGCTGGATGGGAATTCTGGGAGTTGCCTTCCAAAAGCCTATGAAGGCCACCAGGTTGGGGAAGGCTGCTGTACAGCAACCTGAAGAGCTGCAGCAACACACTTTGTTGAACCTACAATTGGTTGCTGGGTCTATAATATCTCAGGTAAGGCTCAAGCAGGCCTTGGTTCATCTCTCTGTGCTGAAACCTGGGTAGCCCCCGAAAGCCTTATAAGGATCTATTATGAAAAGACCCACTATTTTCAGAAGATGTATCTTTCTATGTAGAGGTGTCCCCAGTTAGGTGGAACCAGCTATTTTGGCAATTTGAGAATGGCTGGTGATTTGGCTTCCCAACAAAGGGCGATTTTCAGAAAAGTTTGGAGGGAGGGGGACATAGCTTTGTTGTTGGTGTTATGTGCTGTCCAATTGCCTCAGATTTTTGTGCCCCCCAAAATACCCTGTCCCCAGTAGGCATGCTCAGCTCTTGAAAATTCAAGGCTGTGGCATGCTTTATGGTATCTCTCCATCTCATATTTTCCTCTTCTGCCTTTGACTTTTCCTAGCTTTATTCCCTTCTCCACTTGATTGTGTCTTCTCATGATGTGACTCAGCTTTGCCATTTTTCCTTCCAGGGCAATTTTTGGCTTGATTTGGTGTAGGGCCCACTTGTTCATTTTTCTTTCAGTTCGGGATATTCACAAAGCTTTCCTCCAGCACCGTGCTCCAAATGCATCCGTTTTCTTCCCGTCAGCTTTCTTCACTGTCCTGCTTTCAGGCCGATAGATGGGAATGAGGAATACAGTAGAGGAGGTGTGACTTTACCTCAGCATTGTGTAGAGTGGGTGTGGAGGCCTATTCTCACCCCTTCTTTGTCCAGGGATCGAGAGAAGTGAAGTAGTGTAGTCAGCTACCAATTTCTGCCCCAGAGAAAAAAGCTCTGCATCCCTCCAGCTATTCCTGGCTCTACTGCACCACCTCTTTTCCCCCTGACAAAGAAGCGGAGGTACTGGGAATTGCGGGTGGGGACACAGTAGAGCCTTCATCCTCACACTTGACACTAAACTTGGCACTTGAATTTATTTTGTATGCGATAGCAGGGGAAAACAACTTGGCTAAAGACTATGAGAGCATGACAAGAAGTGAAAAAAGAAATCCTCCATCGTAAACAAGTGGAAGTCAGTGCATGCTTGCTTTAAAATGTTTCTGCATAACAAAAAGACTAGAACTAATCTCTTTTTTTCATTCTTCAGAATCCATAAAGGTAAAGGTTTCCCCTTGACATTACAGTCCAGTCATGCCTGACTCTAAGAGGCGGTGCTCAACTCTGTTTCCTAGCTGAGTGAGCCAGCGTTAGTCTGTAGACAGTCCCCGTGGTCATGTGGCCGGCATGACTAAACACCGAGGTGATTGGAATGTTGTTACCTTCTCTCTAAAGTGGTGCCTTTTTATCTACTTGCATTTGCATGCTTTCAAACTGCAAGGTTGGCAGGAGCTGGAACGAGCAACGAGAGCCCACCCCATTGCGCAGATTTGAACTCTTGACCTTTTGATCAACCAGCCCAGCAGCACAGCAGTTTAAACCACTGCTCCACCTGCATCTCTCTTGAGAATCCACACCGGTATCCCTCTTGAGAATCCATACTGGTATCAAACTTTTGCAAATTTTTGATACTGCATTCTCGTGTGAATCTTGATACTTTCAAAATTGTCAGAAAAAACCAGAGAGTATAAATGAACATCCCATTCCCCAGAATTCTATTATTCATCTTTTCTTTTCCTTCACCCATTTACAGAGCAGCTGAGGACACAGACCCTAATGTTTTAATTTCATAACATTTAATTAACTGCATATGAAAGTGAGTTAGTCTGAGTTTCCTGAAGTCTGTACACCAAATTACAGATCAGCAAAGGCTGTTTACAACTATATTTCCAACTTGTTTTGGTTGTGTGAGTGCATAATTTCAATGCAGCACTGGCTGCTAAGTCCATGGCACATGAAAATATATTAAAATAGTTTGTATGTTAAATGGTTGCTTGCGGTTATTACTCATACCTCTAATTCTAGCTCCTCTCTGTCCATTTCTTGATGAATGCCTCCCATGTAATCATTTGGATCATAGTATTCATGTCCTGATGAATGCCTGGGAAAATAAAGCACAGTTTGGGTTAGCACTCCCTATTCTCATTAGCATATTCATCCTCCCCAAGCTACATGGCAGATCATCACTAACAGTTCACACATGCATCCAGTGCCAATGCGCTGCAGTGCTCAGCAGTGTTGAGGATGCAAGCCCATTAAACACTAACAAACATAAAAACTGTCTCACTTCTGGAAAGGCAACCCCAGGCAAGGCTGACCCACCAGAGAAACATTTGTTTGGGCAAGAGTTTAGAAGGAGGGGAGGTCTGAGGGAACATGGTGCATCTGGAGGCATGCTTGGCTTGCAAGCGGGAAGAAGGCAAGCAGCCCAGAGCAAGAGAGTCGCAGGCCCTGGGCCCGACTGGCTTGCCCCGTTGGGAGCAACTTGCTCTGAAAGCGGGCAGCAGATCCAGACATGTAAAGGTGGTCTTAGTTTCCTGAAGGAGATCCGGTAGAGGGGTGAGTCAATGACAGGCCCGTAACAGCTTCCATGTAGCCTGAAGGGCCTGATCACGCCTCATCTTGGAAGCTAAGCAGGGTCAGGCCTGGTTGGAATCTGGATGGGGGACTTCAACGTTGTGAACCACCCAGAGAGCTTCGGCTATGGGTGGTATAGAAATATAATTAATAATAATAATAGCAGAGCAAGGCGGTAAGAGCACATGAGATCACTCGGTCCCCGTGCTACACCCACATCTGCACTTTTGCTGGTTCTGCTGAGAAAAGCATGGGGAAGCACACAGGGTCATTTCCCAGCAAACACCCTTTCCATGCTCTTTTCACTTTGGCCCCAAGAACAGGAAAGGAGGCTGATGGTCCCCACCCCTCCCCAGTTCCCCTCTTCCGGAGGTGGCAGGGAAAGAGAGAATGAAGGAAGGACACGAGAGGAGACGGGGCTTTTGCTTGTGTATTTAAAAGATTTTTAAGCTATTCAGGCAATATAGAACGAAACAAAGAGGAAAAAAATGCTTGGGCAGATAGTATGAAATCAGGTGCTTCTCCCCCTGCCTGCCACCTTAGAGCACATACTTATTGTCTTAGTTTCTAGCTGTGAAAAGGATTATGAAAAGATGCACTGAGCAAAACCTAAGGTTATGTGAGTGCACTTCTGCTCACACAACAGGACTTTCATGGGCTCTACCTTTCTTGAGCCCCCCAAAATCTGCTCCAGAAGGTCGTTCAAGGGTAGATTTTGAGAGTGCATGGGACAGCTGCAAGGAAGAGGAGGGATAGTCCTGCTATTGGAAAGAACTGGAAAGAAAGGGGACAGTCAGATTTTTCTTCCATTTTCATAATACTAGAATAGGTCAAAGCCAATGAAACCAATAAGCAAGAGATCCGTAATATACATGAGGAAGTAGCTGTCTAGGTTAACACATAGTTAATTTAGGGAATTTAGTTCTTTGAGATGGCTGTAAGGTTATGTTGCTTTTAAATGGGTTAACATCCATCAACAGATATATCCACACAGGCCTATTAAGGGATATTAGCCATAATAATCAGATGGAGCCTCTGTGTTCAAAGGCATATTTCATAAAAACATCGAATAGTAGAGTTGGAAGGGGCCATGAAGGCCATCGGATCCAACCTGCTGCTGTTGCAGGACACCAAGTTACACCATCCCACTCACATGGCTGTCCAGCTTCTTTTCAAAACTTCTTTTTCCTGATGCTGAGCATGTACAGAGCGGAAGGACTGCCACATTCATGCCCTGCTTGTACAAGTGTTGCTGGGGACAGTGACCAGTGTTTGGAAACATGGTGAGTGATGAGAACGGCCCTTGGGTCTGATCCAGAAGGGCTCTTCTTGTGTTACTTATCTACTGAGACAGAGCAACACAATTGACCCATGGCATTTTGGACAAAGGCAGACAATCTGGTCTACGTTACAAACAATAGGCTGTGATATGAGTGGATTCCATTTGATGTGATCCCACATCACGCATGAGTGCTGTCTCAGAGGCATCATCTCCTAAAACTGTTCCACCCACATGGCTGTGCCGCTCATAACACTGGAATTATAGAGTGGCAATGCATCTATACTTTGACTTATAAGGTGGACAATAATAATTAGTATTCTGTACTCCCTAAATATTTTTGAACAGCACATGCTCTGTATTCAGTAGGTTCCACCTCCCGACATCACTAGGCACACTTTGGAAGGAATCCCACTGGAAACCCTGGAAAGCCCCTGCCAGTTAGCATGGACAATCTTGCACCAAGGGTCTGGCTCAGTACAGGCAGCTACCAACGTTCTGATCTCGTTGCACATCAAGGGGACAATGCTTGAGGAACCAGGGGTCACTAACTCCATTTCTTTATGTGCTCATCCCTTAAAACGCACAAGGCCTTCTCTCAGCAGTGATGCCCAGCGCTGTGGAAGCAGCCAAGAAGAATGGAGGCTGCATTCTAATGCATACAGCTGAAACCCTGTGGAAGCAGGAACGCAATCCAAAGCTCTGCTTGAAGTTCCAGCTTCTGCATTTCACTGCCAGTACATGCGCAGCTATGAATACTCTCTACCACATCTGTGCCCTCCTTCCACTGCCACCTGCCATGAACAAATTGGGAAGAGAGCCATCGCAAACAGCACGTTAACGTTTTTGGCAAATTTCTATCCTTTTCTACTTGCTGTGGAAGAAAATATCAAGTATCCTTGGGGAATGATAATGAATTCAATGGAGATTTATTTCCTGCATTAAAAATATGGGTGGGCTTGCATATAGGTAAAGGAGTGTTTTATTTATTTCCCCTGCGAGTACAACAGTATCAGACTACCAGTGGCACTAATTAAAAACAAATTCTAAATATTCCTTCACATTGTTTTAAAGAAAGATCAATCCTACCGGATAACTTATTTGTGTAACATCGTTGCAGGATTAAAATAAAATATTAATACACTGGAAAAGAATGTAGTAGCCCCTTGCCATTTGTAATTTATGGCTCCCATTAAAAAATGAAAAGTTGAAAAGCAGCATTATAAAGAAGCATCTAAAAGAATTGCCAGATACATAAACTATGATGCAGAATTCAGAAAACAAATCTACTGCTCAATGCAGAGAACAAACTTTACGTACAAAGGGCCCCGAGTTCAGCCTCTGACATCTCCAGGTAATGGATCTAAGCCATGCCTGTCAGTTACTTCTGCCAGGCCAGGCCAGGCACTAAGGATATGCAGATCTCCCCCATTCTGTGTCTTTACTTTCCTGCAGTTTCACTGAGCCATGGATTCTACCTTGCTAAATCTGGAAAACTGTATTCTTTTTCATACAGACATATGTCACATTTTCTTTGAACTTCAACTGCTGAGCACATCACTGTGTATTTTAAAGGAATAATTCCTAACATAGAAAATGTAGCCCTAAGATTGTTTGCCCTAACAATATAATATAAATGAGTATTTCATCAAATATGTTAGGATGTTATACAAGTAGTTCCTAAAGATTTAAGAAGACTGGTACTTACTCCTCTGGCAAGAGATACGGATCCAGTACTGTAACTGGCGGGGTTGGTGAGCCCATCTTTGTCAGGGCCATGATATGTTCAAAGGTGATATCTGTCTGGGTGCCCATATCTACCAGGAGACATTCATGAGAAGGGCTGAAGATCTTGGTGCGAGGTGCTCTCCTCAGGACTTGCACTACAATGGGGTCTTTCGCTGTTTTGAAAGCTTCTACTGCTTGCTCATGGGTTGCTTTCGATAAATCTTTCCCATTTACCTGTGGGAGAGACAAACAAATAGGAGAAAGTCAGTAAGTCCTGTTCTCGTAGCATTCTGTTCATAGGCAGTTACTGAGAAACATACACTTTCCACTTTTTAAAAGGAAAATATATTTGCAAGTGATATTTGAAACTGAGGCTGTAATCCTGGAACTCTTTCCTCCTGCCTAGCATGCATTAGTGATAGCAAGGAAGGGTCAGCTGTTCACACAGGGTGGGATATATCCCCACAGAGGAGATCACCAATATATGTCGATAGTGAGAACTGAAAGGCTTTTGATTTCTTCTGCTGGCAATTTCCAAAAGGCAAAGCCTGATTCACTTTCCCTTAAAATCGGTCAAGGGACAGTGTGGGAGTGAAAGGAAAGGTCCAGAGATTGTACTAAGCTGTTATCCCACTGCTGGGCATATGATCAAAGGTTAAATTGTATTATCACAGCTGGTTGGTTCTGGCTCTCCCCCACAGAAAAAGAACATGATACAGGAAGCAAAAGTGGCTACATCCACTAATGAATACCAGATACACTACTACATATCAGATACCTTAGAAACATATTTCCTAACTACTTTAAAGGCAACCTGAAAAATTCTTTCCATAGGGTTAGATACCTATTTAGGCACATGCAATTGGACTAGTGGAAGCAAACTTCTCTTCCTTTTCCTCTTCCCTTGTTGGCCAAACTCCTAAAGAAAGGGTCAAAGCACCCTGGTAGGCTGTGTTACAGGGAGATGCTGGATCTCCAAGAATCAGAAGGAGATCCCTTCTGTGAGCGGCACAATGCTCACTGAAGATGCTCCCGCTCCATTTTAAAGACTTCCCCATACCCTTTCTCATTTAAGAGGTTTTCTCAACTTTCTAGGGAGTTGAGAAAGGGACTGCCATGGGAAGAAACTGAGAGGTCTGCTTTTGCCAGTCTATTTTCATGTGTTCCGGAATAGAACATAGAAACACGGAACATAGAAACGAAGCAAGTCAGAAGGGGCTCCCGGACCATCTAGTCTGACCCCAGGCTGCTGGAGGCTCTGCTCATGTAATTCCCAACATATGGTTGTCCAATCTTTCCTTGAAAGATTATACATAACCTGCAATACTAATTAGTCATAAAACATAAATGCAAATAAATAAATGAAGTTTAATGGGTCAGGGAATGGCCTGATAATGCATGACAAAGTCCTTCCTGAAGATAAGCTGGAGCAGCTTTCTAAGATAACTGGAATGGACATACATTTGGTTCTCACGTGCGTGCCTCCTGCATATCTCTTTTTTGGCACCAGATTCTTAAAGAACAGAGATTATGTGGAAAGAGGTCTCAGAACTCCTTGTAATCACATGAACTTCTGTTAACATCTTGCTCTTTTTTTAAAACCTAGATTACTGCTTTTCCCTGTCTGGGATGATCTACTGTAATGTTTCCACTTCAACCTGTGGCTAGCCTCAGACAATCTGTGTCATTGTTACAAATTAAATGGTACCCCCCCCCCCATAGCATGATGACTTGCTGTTTTGGAACATCAAAATCTGAGTTGTTCTGTAGTCTCCAGCACCAATCTGAGTGTACTGTAGTCTTCATGATTTAAGTCAAAATTTTGTCCAAAGGCCCACTAATGCCCTCCATTCTTCTGAAAAAGCCATTGCTATATACTCCAAGCTTTGGTGCCATTTTTGATCACTGCTGACATGTGTATAATTTTATTCTTATTAATGTACCATTTAAAATAATAAAATCTCAAATCAGTTTACATGTAATAATATTAAAATCACAGCTAAATACACCTTTAAAACCAATTCCAACTACAATAACAATAAAAGGCAGCACAAAGAACAGTAAAATGGAGCAGTGGCATGATTCATTACAGCCAATTACAAGTCTGAGAGCCTGCTGAAATAAGTGCATTTTCAAGAGGCAGTTAAAAGGTACCCCCTTTCCGGCCTTCTGAACTGCATGGGAGCGTTTCAGACAGTGAGTGCTTCTAATGAGAATTCCCACTTTTGAAATCGTCCATGGAAACAATCTATTGGGTGCAGAATGACCAACCAGGCCCCTGGAGATGATAAAAGGTTGGCTGGATATATTCAGGAACAGGTGGTTTGCTAGGTAACCTGGTCCTCAGTTGTTTAGGGCTTTGTATGTCAATAATATAGCTGCAAAAATAACTCAGAGATATGAATGTGAACATCTTTAGTATAAGCCGCCTTGAGACTATGGTAGTAGGCAGCACATAAATGAAAGTATAAATAAATATGAACATAGTTCCATAATTTCAAAACCTTTTTAACACACATGGCTAAATAAGCAATTAAAGCCTTCCCATGTGCATTAAATACAGTAAGCAGAGAATTATTTGACTTGTCCATAGCAATGTACCGAGCCTCTTAATGGGGAAGGATCATCATCATTCTGCTTAAAGATTCTCCTTCTAACACAGTGCATTCAATCCTCTATGAAGTCCTTTACCCATACTCATGTACCACAGGATACATTTTGTCATTGCCTCACAAATATTGTAGCAGATTAAATCTGGAAGTGACAATTACTACACCTCTGAATAGCCATGAGTCTAAGTAGAAACAATTTTTCTACCAGTTTGAAAAATATTGCATTCAATTAGTCCCGCTGAAAGTTTCTTCAGAATATCTAAATTTATCTACTCTGATGGTATTCTTTTGCAATCAGAAGCAACTCAGAGAGGAAGAGAAATAACTACGGGCAAAAGAGAAAAATGGCTATGGCTGCTACCCGTTATCTTGATGGCCATAGGATTTGTCAGGTTCCAAGCTACAACACTGGAAAGTATCTCTGTCCTCATAGCTGGGGGTCCATGCCTGGATCCTTCCCCCCACCCAACAGCCAGCATGTGATGCACTGTGCCAGCGACTTCTCCGAGGTCCTAACAGCAATCTTGGAGAAGGCCTTCTGGGGTGTTCTGGAGGGTGGTGGGGAGGGGAGAAGACTTCCACTGCCTTGATGTGCTATATACTGGTGGTGCTCAGCCCTCCTGGTCTGAAGCACTGCACTTTGATGGTGGACTCTGGCTAAGTGCTTGATGGAGTGAGAGCCAACCTTCACCTCCATGTTCCTCCTGCCCTGCTTAGGATGCCTGTTATCCTCTCAGTGCAGGGGGTCACAGGTTTTTCCATGGGACTGTGCCACAGGCTATTTCTTGTGCATTCTCATTTTTATTTTTGATCCAGCATTAATATTCTGAAAGATCTAACCTAGAAGAAGGTCAACCATATATTAAAAGACTTTGGCTTGATTTAAGAAGGACAACGAAGGCAGACATTACCATCACAAGTGAGCTACAGTCACAGTCACTATCCTCCACCATCTAATTATTCTCTTATTACTGACTATATAATGCATCTTAAATAGACAGACACTCAGCATAGTTATCTTAACCAGGTAAAACAACTCTATGCCCCAACGATATCTCAAGGGACGGCAGAGGCAGACCAGGGAAAGGGCAAAATCCAATGGTGCATGGATACCGTTGCATCTATCTTAGCGTGTGTATCCTTTTAATTTTTTTCTGTCAACGAAAGAGCACCTCATGGTTCACTCATGGCTGATTGACTTCTCAGCACCTCATTGCCCGATTTGCTTCTGCAAACATCAAGAAGTACTTTGGGTTATTGCCAAACCAATCTGAATGTGGTAAGCACCCATGCAGGCCAAAATCTGTCATTTGGAACCAGGGACTACAGATACCTGCAAATGGGAAGACCTGGTGCTGGGCACTCTCCTTGGCAGCAAGGAGGAAGGAAGGAAAGAGGCAGGCAGGCAGGCAGGCAGGCAGGCAGGCTGGCTGCTGCTGCTGCTGCTGCTGGTGGTGGGTGCATACGTATGGGACCAGCAGATGCTCTTGCCCCAAGAGTCCTGTGAAGAGAGGGATTCTTTGCAGCCCAAGGACAGAGTTGCTATAAAATCTTCAGCTATAAAGCAGTGCACACTCTTTTTGCAGGCTGCTATTGTGCGTCTTTGTCAGCACCCATGCTTTTTGAAAGACGCTCCCTGTCACCCAGGAGAGGAGCAGGACAGAGAGATCTCTCCCGCAGCTAGAGATCAGAGCCCTTCCAAGGTTTCGCGCTCGCATGCAGCCCTTGCAGGGTGGACTGCTCGTCAAAGGTTCTGCGCAGCAAGGGGCATCAGCCAGATCGTTGGCAGCTCACCTTACAGCTTATTTCCTCCACCCTTTTTCTGACGTGATCATTTGAATTCTTCTAAATTCCCATCTGGACTCAAACCCAGCAAAACTTGGCTAGTCTCTGGATTTTCCCCACTCCCAGTGTGGAGTGAAGAATTCAAGGATTGATCCAAAGGCTTCAAGGGAAATAATGGTCTAGGCCAATCTTCCGCAGCCAGGCAGCCTCCCAATGTGCTGGAATACAACTCCCACTACCCTCAACCATCCATGTGGGAGTTACAGACCAACCTGTCAGGAGGGCACCTGGTTGGAGAAGGCTAGTCTCTGGTCTCATAGGAAACCAAAGGAACTGCTCTGTCAGGTGTGTTTTTGGAAACAGACCCTGAAGATCACTTTTGTTATTTTAAAACAGAGAAAATAGTTGAAATCTTCCCAAGCCAATAGAGGCTATAAAATCGAATAATGGCTTAGTATGCAGAAACACCTGCTTCCTTCAGTTTTACAACCATCCCAAATCGATGATAAAGCTTCCATATATGGACTAGAAGCCCACAGAGAAGTAGATTTACTTTAGAGTGAAACATGCATGTATGTTAGCTGCATGGCAAGCAAAGACAGCCCACAGAAAGGGACTGCATACATCAAAAGCCTTGCCATATAAGTACTGAAAACACAGGTGGTGAGTTTGGAGTGGAAACACATTCTCCTCATAAGCCTAAGCACCACCTTTGTTGAGTATTTATAGGACATATGTAATAGAAATGATCTAAAAGAGACTGAGTGGAAGTCAGCTACAAGAGAGCAACAGAAGAGAAGACTGATGCAGAAAAATAACTCAGGATCAAGGCAGGTC